GTGTATATTGTGTTGTATATGTGTATATAGCACACATTTGCAGTTGTTAGAATGAAAGAATGACATTTTTAGAGTTTTCAAGTTAAGAAGCTGAACCATTGAAAAGCTATTTAATTTAAATTACTGGAAATGGACTCTAAAACTTTGTGTTGCACTACAACAAATGTGTAATGTACATTTACATTATAACACAAAATGCTGGTTTCACGAGACCAAATTAGCAGTAGTCTTGAACTATCTGAAGTTATTTTAGGTAAATAAATTCAGAGATATGTCTGATCTAGGTCTGTGCAGGTAGCATACAATTTCATATATGAAGGATGAATGGGTAGCATATTTTCTCCTTAAGAAATCTGCAAGCCTTTGCTGTCAACATAAGCAGGATATTTATATGTGAGAAAGGAATTTGTGTTTTTTTTATTTAAATACAGCACTTTAATTTTCCAACAAATGTCGCAACTTAATTATTGTTAAAGCCAAATAAGTGAAAAGTGTTCTCTAAGTGGCAGGTCTTGTGGTCTTGAAACAAATAATCCCAACAGAAGGCCACTGACATTAATAAATATGCAAGTACACAGGTTAATACGCATTATGTTTAGTGTGGCGCTTAGAATGTCTCTAATTACATGGCTTTTCAATCTGTACTTTTCTGTGGATAAAGTTGTACAGTATAAAGACTTCTAATACACTAGAACACTATCTTTTTTTACCTCTCGTTCCTTTTCATGCTATATGTCGATCAATTAAATCAATGTTTTGAAAGAATCAAGAGATTTGGTCTCTATTGGCTGTGGATTTCACAAGCAATGTTGAAAGCTGAGCAGGCAGATCATTCAGGAGGCCAGGCATTTCTTTTAACTGACCCCGCAGCAAGAAGTGGTAATGGTGTTAACTCGCTACGTGTGCTGGGGTTGATAAGATGTCCTAGACAGTCAGGTTATTTATTAGCTGTGGCGTTAAAAGCAACTTTTCATGCTGCCAGGTGCGTCTCATTTTACATTATCGGTGATGACTGCATCTGCCTTCCTTTAGATTCCTTAGTTCTGCGGTTGATGCTTTGAACTCGGTGTAGGCAAAAAATGAGTTAGAGGTTACTGGCAAATGATCTTTATTGATGTAGCACAAGGAGTGTGTCAATAGGTTGATAAGAAATTATTGTTCTAATTTGGGGGAAGGGTATAACATAGAACCTGGAATAATCTGAACTCTGCTTTTTATAAGAGATTATCATGTTCGCTGGATTATTTAAAAGGACACTTTAGGCACCGCAATTCATTTGAATTAAGTATACTGTGGTACCCTTTTGTACTATTGAAATTTTGTGCGTTTCAGATTCAAATGATAATCTTATCTGAAGTCTTTATTTAAAACTGATTAACATTGTATGGTAAACCCGAGCTGTGTCTGAAACAATCTGTACAATAGGTTATTTCTTTATCTGTGGCTTTAGAATTTGGCATTAGTTTTTTAAGAGGTTCCTTTCGTTATGTTCATGTGTATCTTATCTGTCATTCTTGCTGAACAAACAGAATTCAGAAGAAGTGTTAAGCATGTTTGAGGAAGCAGGAAACAGTGCTATTGTGGTTGTTTAATTCCACTTGAAGTTTGTGCTGCATTGATTTTTTTTTTTAAGCTCTGGTGATGAAGATCTGTGATGAGATAAAATAAGCAACAAAATAAAGGTATATTTTGCACAAAGGCTTAGCTGAAAAACATACTGTATGTACTGCAACACTTCAGAATTGGAAAAACCCATATACAGTACCCATCCCTCCTGATTATTTATTGAATTATATTAATCAACTTTTCACTTTTCAAGTATGATATTATAAGAATTTGTGGTACACCTGTAGAACATGTAATGGTTCACATACTTTTTTGCCCTTCTTATTACTTTCTAATAAGGGAGCAGGGAATGACAAGATTGTGGCAACATATGCATGCTTAAAAATGCACATGTGAGTATGTTTGTGCACAGCTGATCCTCTTAAACCTTTAAAGGCTCACAGGTTCACTTACATGGACACACACCAATTTTCCCAGAAGCCAATTAACTTTCCAGTATGTAAGGACTGTGGGAGGAATCCAGAGCAAAAACCTGTGTGAACACAAGATAGCATACTGTACAAACTCCATGCAAATAGTACGCCACGTCTGGAATTGAACCCAGGGCCCCAGCACTGTGAACAGCGCTCACTACTGTGCCACCAAGCTGCCCGCAAGAGAGGCATTTCCTGGAAATGTTTCTTGCAGGTAACATTGCAATGTATAGCCACAAGTTGGGACATTCAGGGTCCATCCATCTAGATTACTAGACTTTACAAATGCTACATATCATCCGAGAAGTAATACCTATGATTGACTTATATCTGTTAATCATTGTAACTGCACAGTCGGATTCCTCTTAGGCAGGGGTTCTTAAACTAGATGCCCACACCTCCTAGGGGTGCAGGAGTAATATACAGTATTATTTAAACATAGAGGCCACCTAATATACTTTAAACATGACATCACCATGAGAAATTAAGAAGGGCAATACATATGCAATGCCCTGTCATTTTATATACGCTTTGGTCAGTATGTTTTTTTTTTGTTTTTTTTATAGGTGGAACAAACTTTCGCAATCCACAACAAGTGAAACTTAAATTCCGACAAATTTGCAAATAACAGACTACTGCCCGTTACTGGTCAACACTGTTAATATTTCTGCCCAGTTTGCTTCTGTTCTTCCAGGTGCAGATCTTTCTGTTGCTTGTGCTATAACTCTTGTTCTCCCGCATAATCTACTCAAAACTTCAAATTTCCCCTAATTAAATTGTCAAAATATTGCTTTGTGAATTGAAATGTTTATTGATTCTTAGTTTTGGAAATACTGAATTCCAAATTGCATTGAGGAAACCAAATGTAATTTGTAATAAATGATTGATTTGATGTATTATACAGTATCTTTAGCAAACCATGAAACAGCCTACAAGCGCAATCAAAATTGATAACTGATTGTTTTCTTAGGGGGTGTGGGGTGGCCTTGTATTGCTGTAGGTGGTGCAGGCCTCTAAAAGGTTAACTTCCAATGCTCCAATCATCCGATGTCTGCATAATTCCTTAACCTATCAACATGATAATGCTCATCAAAGTCATTCACTGGCCTACTGAATTGCCATTTTATGTTCTGATTGAGGAGTCCTGAGATGCAATGAATAGTTACATAGTTGCTATCACAACCACATAACATTACTTCCCTGCAAGTTGCTGTTAAACTGTCCACGTACAGTACATGTAAACAGAAGCTACTGCCAACATTATGTAGGGGCATCTACCAGCCATTCATCATACTGTATATACTGTACCATACCAAATGAAACCTTTGAACTTTCTTACTGCTATTAGTAAGTTGCTTTTGGTTTGCACTACATTTTAGTACTTGGCTTTAACTGTACTGACAAAAAACACTTTTCTTGAAGATGTTTTCTGACCATGATTCTTCATTGTTGCATTTCTTAGGTTTTTAATAAACTCTATTAGCACAAAACCCTTTGTTATCTGGATATTACTGTGACGCCAACCTCTTTTTCATTTTCTTTGTGTTTTTGGTGAATGACGCACTGAAAAAAGGCTTTTGTCGTTAACAGTGCAGAAAAGGATTATCATCTGGCGAATGCACATTACATTAATTTTTTTGGGAATGTCTGTGATAATCATTAAGACAGCACACGCCTGTTGTTAGATACAGTTCATTGAGATACGATGATGAAACAGTTCAATGTTGTATTCAAATGCCTATTTCCAGCATCATAGTACATCACTTTTCTGATTATAATACATTTTCTAAGTATGAGGGTTATGCTCCTCTGTGTTAAGTTTATGGTCTGAACCCTGTCCAGATGAATTTTAGAGATAAACCACTTGCACTGTTGCTGGACTGTGAAATTATCAGACGTGTATGTTCTTATTTGCTTTTTATTACAGCAGACGGCCCTTTGAATTATTTGCACTTGGGCATCAATGCATGTTGTCAGGTAGCCTCTTCAGTGAGTCTAGAGAGATGTATTGGTACGTGAATGAGGAAAATGATTTCAATTAGAATTCTAGCATCCAGCAAGTTTGTTCATATAAAGCAACGCTGAAGGTTCATCCCAAGCCAGAATAAACAGATAGTAGTCTTTTAAAGGTGTCCCTTGAAAACTTTTGTTTTGGTGATCATAAAATGAATGCAGTAGTCTTGCAGCCTTGATCTTTCAAGGAGTCTGATTTGTAGTGTGATGGAATGGAATGCTAGTTGACTGTGCAAACACGCCCATTTTAATCAGTATGTCTGCAAGGGGGTTTTGTCAAGACAAGGTCCTTCTGTAGCTCCTCTTTCCTGGAGCAAATTCTTGTCTACATAGTTTTTGTTGTCGGCTATGTATGGCTCTTCCTCCCTTGCTTCCTTTTCCTCACAATGGTTTATCAGTGATTGGATGACTTGTGTAAAAAAAAAAAGTGGCGCATTCCATTTTTTCTGGCTGTTTGGATTGGTGTCAAATGTACAGCAAATTCTCATTATACAGTACATGACAAATTTCCAATAACAACCGTAATTGTGTAACATGCAAGAATAACTAGTTTAAATAAAAAAAAATTCCAAGTTTTAAAATGTACAGCAGTTTCTGAAGAAGAGGAATCTTTTCATTCCAAATCATGAAATTTTGCTATTCCATCACACTATGGCTAACCTCTGTTTCATTATGGCTTATTTTTGGCAGTCCCATATTTGGTCAGTGTCAATCTAAAATTCCTATAAAATAACCAATACTGGTGGTCTGTATCTCGATCTGTTTTTTTATTTATTTTATTCCAGCCTGCAGGTGCCAGGCCTTGCATGTTGCTGATGAAAGGTGGCTTTCTGATGCTAACTAAAAAAATGAAAGATCTAGGGCAATGACGGGACAGAACGGAGCAGGTTACATATCTGAAGTAATGATATCCGTTTTTTTTTTTAAAACCATTTTGATTCCTTTCAGACGCAGAGGGGAGCCTGTGTCGAAGTGGTCACCTCCTGCAGATCACACTGACTATGCACCGACTCCTCATGTCATCGTCTGAGCTCTTGGAGAAACTCATCACACTATATCCTTTTCATGCAAGTATATAGAGCACACCATTTAGTTGTAAATGCTGAGATTGGTTTGTAATTCTTAATTTTTATTCTGAAACAAATATCTCCCAGTCCATTGTGTCAGATACTGTAGATATTGAATGTGACGTTTTACATGTATTATGTGCCTTTGCACTTGCTGATTGATTAGTAACACCCTCCTTGCCCAGCCTGAAAACTGTAAACAAGCAATTCTCACCCCGAGCACTGAAATAGAATCAAACCAAATCGCAACAGAATTGACCAGATTCTGCTTGCGCAGTCTTGAAAACAAGCAATTCTCACCTTGGGTACTGAAATAGAAACAAACCCAAATCACAACAGAATTGACCAGACGCCTGTGCAGGTTTGTGATCGGAACCTCTACTTGAATTTGTTCATAATGTTGGGCCAGAACTCTTCAATTCTGTACAGTTCGTGCAGACTAATGAGGTGTTCTCAAGACGTCTGGCCCAAAAATAAAGCTTCCTTTTTTGTCCTTGGGCTTATTTTTAATTTTGTAAAAAAAATAAGCAGAAAAAGTCACATCAAACATTCTTAAGTGTGGTGGAGATCACCATACAGCTCTAGACCTGTTAATACGTTTTATTTTTAGTACTCCTTCTGTCAGGATTTCTGTGGGCTGGAGCCACTTCGTCACTTATGACGCAGTTAGTCTCTTTATGCGCATCTAATCATGCTAATTTCTAAGAGCCCTGTATTCCACACAGAATGAAAGAGTGGTGTCATTATTATTATAGTTTGTTTTGAACGGTGGGTCAAATTTGGGCATTAATAATGAGCCACTTCAGTGTGGGTGGACTTGTAACCTTTTGAGTGGTCTCTGAGTTGCTGAAACTGTAACTTCTCATGCATTTTAAAGAAAAAGAGAAAGCTATTGAGATTGCAGCACATGTGATTATTAATAACTATACAACATATTTACAACAGCTATAGATTATTGGTGTAATGCTCTTTTAATAAGTTGTTTTATATGTATCACTGCAAAATAACTCATCACATTCTACTTTGAGACTAGTATAGCAAGGATTGTACTACTTTCAGTAGTAGGTTCATGATAATGATAATGAAATTAACTGTGTGAGAACTCGAGTTTAAAGATCTTGCATCTAGGAATAAAAACCTTAAAGTTGTGAATTATGATTAACCAGCCATTTAAGAGAGGGTCTTATTAATACAATTTTAGAAAAAGCTTGTCATTCTCGTCTCTTCTAATTAGAATTATCTTTTATTCTAATTAACACATCATCAAATATTATACCTTTTTGAAAAGGTATCTACTTATCAATAATACATTTAACCACATCCATTCATCTGTAGATTGTGATTTAATCAATATAATGCCCACAGTTCACAGTTCATAATAATGTTTCATTAAATGTTCATATCAAATATTCTATTAGATATTGTATTTAATGAAAATAAACTCCTGTCCAAGATGACAGAAACAGTCTTGTGATAGTTTTGTATGTTATAGCAAGTTGATCAGAAATATGTGATTACACCAATCTGAAAATCCCTTGTTCAAGAAACATCAGTGCAGTATGCAGCAATCTAATTGATAGCAATGTCATCTGCTAACTGCACTGTCTTTCATCTTTTGGAAGTATTTTGTTTGCATTATTGTTTATCTTCCTGTGTGTGGAAATCCCCACATAGTGAACACTTTTAGGGGTTTTTGAAAGGTGACAAAAATAAAAAGAATTCCTGTTGTACCGTTTTCATAAACCAAAAATAACACTTAGTAGAACTGGTCTTTGTAACATGGGGCTTATTCACTATTGCTGGAGACGGTAAAGCTTCATAAGTAATCAGGTCACACAGAAAGGAAGAAACTTTAGTCTTTTGTTCATGCTACCAATAGAATTGATTAATTGTTACATAGTTCCTAAAAATACTGATTAAATTGGCAAAGATACTTATATATTATACGTATATTTTTTTCTTAAAGAAAGCCCAATGATGAAGTGCTCTATGTGCAGTTGGTAAAAACATTCTTAGTTATATCTCTTAAAATTCAAGTGATTTTTAAAAATATATAAAAATATGGAAGCAATCATCTGCAGTGAAGTATAGTGAGGAAACTAACAGACAAGCAATGGCTTCGGTTTTTTAAAGGAATATCTTGAATTCAGTCCAATTAATAACAGAGTTTTCCTTAACAGCGGTCTACTTACAAAAATGCTTTGGAAAATGAAAGATCTCTGGATTGCCTGAAAATCTGTTATCTAATAAGGTAAAGTTAATCCTATGCATCTGAGAACCTTACTCTGTCCCAGTCAACTGTGGAAAATCTTAGTAGGTTTGCAGCAAAGTAAGCAACTTGAACCAATTTCAGATAAATTCATAGGTAGAATATCGTTGTTGTTGTTTTTTTTCAGAGATACTGTAGGATTACATTACCACAGGACATAACATTAATCCCCCAGACAGAAATCATTCAGGAACTTGGTTTTTCCATGAGAAATTTATTTTTTAAAAAGACTTCAATTTAAAATGGGGGAATTTGTTTTATTTATCTACATGATTGTCAGTTGTTTTCTGGGAAACTTCTTTAAAAAACAAATGCCCATGTAAAAGTGCCAGTATGAGTCAGACTCTGATGCTAGTCAGCTGTGAAGTATTTGCCTTCTGTTGAACTATTTCTGTGTCCCATAGGGACTTCTGTAGAACCTTCGGCTCGAAGGGAACCGTGCACCAGAACTGCACTAGCTGAATTTACTTAAATAAAAAGCAGATTGTTCTTAAAAAATCAATTCCAGAAACCAATACCCAAAGTACTATTTTTAATTAGGTCTATTGAAATGTTTAAATGTCATGTTCAGTTACTTTGAAGCCCACTGAATAGCTCTCAGAACCTGAATTTGTCTTGAGAATAATCTGCATTTCTAAAGACATTCCATGTAGGTAACTGTAGAAATAGAATTGTTAAAATCCATTGACTGTCTGAGAAGGACTATTGCTTACCTTATGCAACCGAATTCTACGTCAATATTCAGTCTTTCTTAGATGCATACATTTTCTTCATTTAACAACAGACTCTTTTATGTTTGTGATATTATTCATTTTTTAAAATCCTTAAGTTTATAAAAAAAAAGTGGAGTGAGTCTTAAAAGTATTATATTGTATATGTGAAATTCACGTGAAAAATGAGATTGATTTGAGGGCATTTTTATAATCTTTTATTATTTCTCTGTGTGTGATGAAAGATGACTTTATTTAATATATATATATATTTGAATTGTTCAGGTACTGGATTACAGAATTATGGATAATGTTTCGATTAGACACAGACCTCGCCGACACCATGGAACAATTTCAGGAACTGGTCAGAGAGCGAGGCCAGGAAAAGCATTGCCGTCTGATTGATACAACACAGATGTAAGTATAACATTTTAGATAAGAGCCCAAATTTGACCCACCGTTCAAAATTAGTTTAATTTAAAAGCCCTGATGTCTTTTATGTTTGTGATATTATTCATTACTTTAAATAAATTGCTATCTGATCACTCGTGGTGAATTACAACGCATGAAACAAACTGATTTCAAAATTCTAGCATTTTATATATACAGTAGCAAAAGTGAGCATGGAATATTTTGACCCATGCAACACGCCGAGTCACAGAAGCCAATAGGTATTTCTGTTGGTTACGGTTCACAAGAAGCCATGAATGAGTCATGCAGAAGTGAGCCCTCCAATCTGAAGGAGTTGGATGGTGTACAGTGGGCATGTGTTACCCCACAGAGATCTCCCTGAACAGACCAGGTTTGTGTGCTGGCTAAGAAATGTGGTGGACTGTGGAAGCTGCTGTTTACCAAAAGTGTACGCAGACATCCGGTATGATTGTGTTAATAGTGCATCCTCTGGCATAATTAAACATAACACATAGAGAGACTCTTTTAATGTTAAAACTTCCTCTAGCCTTTTCCTAGTTGAAACTGTAGCTGAGAAAAATGTCAACCTTTCTGGAGTGTAACCTTTTTTTATTTTGCTATCTGCGGTGAATTACTACAAGTACCAGTCGTGGGCTGGCCTGCACTGCAATCACAGGCTTTAACTGCTAGATGATGGTGCGAGTTATGAGTACCTAATACTAACCATTGAGTCATCACTATGGAAAGAGATTTGTTTTCCCTTTTGAAGCTGTTTGGCAGCTTGAGTGAATGACTTTTTCTAGGTTGGAGATTAATTCTTCTGTGTTTTTGATCTTGCAAACTGAAGAACTGAGAGAAGAGCTGACTTTTTAATTAAAATGGTTGTGTGCCGCGGTATTTGCTTCAATCTCAAATGATAACAAGAATTACTGAAATGATCTACACTCACAATTATCTTGATTCCCTCCACCTCCTCCGACATCTGAACCTTTGCATGGTGATCCCTTTGGTGTCTTCAAACTGACAAATGCAGAACTTTTTTTAGATAAATCATTTGTTTTCAAACCCACCCCTGACATTGGATTTTTCAACATCCAACACATCCCATCAAATCATGAACCTGAGCCTGAGCCAGGTTGCTTGTTCCAAGTGTTGTGCGTGTCTGGTACAAGCAACCCTGCCATGCTGATGAAGCAAGTATCCTGGTTTCCTGCAAGAAACAGCTAGAAGAGATCCTTGGATCAATTACTGTAACTAAAAACTACCAGAAGGGCTAGAATGGCTGGGTGGCCACCTCTCACTTGTAACTTTTCTCAAATTATGTTGTCATAGAAGAATAGTGATAGAAACAGTACAGGACTAGACTCATATGTAGTAGTTCTAAATGGTGGTATTAATCCTAAGGCATGCTTATAAGGTACTTATTAAGTACCTTAATACACCTAAGAAAGTAGAATCTTCAGTTACATGGTATATAAAAACAGAATCAATGGACAAGTGGTTTAAGAGATATTATGAAGACTTTATATATGATTGGCATTTTGTCTTATATTCCCAAGTTTCCCCTGTTAAGCACAAATGAATGGTTTACATCAACACCTAAGATTATTGTAAGCTGTTCATATCCATTACTCAATACGTATTTACCCTGTATATGCAAATTGCATCTTTGCCAATATCAAATACAATCTCCATAACATAGTGTTGATGTTATGAAAGATTGGACAAGCTTCCATTCACCAATTTCATTTCTTGTCTTCAGAAATGACAGAGAATGGTCCCGGAAGATCACTCAGAGAATAAAGGCAAACAGCAGTAAGAAAAGGAAAGTGTCTCTGCTCTTTGATCACCTGGAGCCTGAGGAATTAGCTGAGCACCTCACTTATCTTGAGTTCAAGTCATTCCGTAGGATATCAGTGAGTACTATTGAAAAGCCTGCTAACTTCTTTCAGTATTACTGCAGTTCTTACGTGTGTGTATCTGAAATCTTTTGACCGTTTATCACTAAGCCCTCAGCGGAAACGGCACAGTTATTATATGTTGTAGCTCCTTTTAGGAACGTGATTTGAGTTTCCAGAATTTAAAATAATTTTTAGATGAAGACAGCTTACCGTAAAAGTGTTCTATTTGTCTTTGTGTAAAGTACACAGATTTCTAGGACACCAAACAAAAATTTTAGGATATTTCACTGTGCCTCATAATAGCTTCAGTGAACATGCCTGCAGCAAGTTTGTAAATGCACAAAATATTCTGCATTTCATATGATAATTAATTTAATAAGGAGTTTCCACATGCTGTATGTTATAAGTGTCTAAAATGACTTGCTTAGGACAGTAAACCTACCTCACCACCATGGTCTTTGATGTGACAGTTTGCAGACTACCAGAATTACATTGTCAATGGCTGCATGAAGGAGAACCCAACGATGGAGCGCTCTATAGCCCTGTGTAATGGCATCTCACAGTGGGTCCAGCTGATGGTTCTGAGCAGGCCCACTCCACAGCTCCGTGCTGAAGTGTTCACCAAGTTTATTCATGTTGCTCAGGTAGGAGAAGAAGAAAATGCCGTTCTCCTCGTTGCGCCTCCAGTTAGTGCTTTTCTTTCTGTACAAAACAAGCTTTTCTTTTTTTCCTGAAAGATTGAAACCCCTCAGAACTGGCATTGTTCAATTCAGAACAATGGTAGTTTTGATGGGATTCAGCCTTTACTTCCTTCTTCCTTGCTTGACATTTACCATTTCAAAATTTAGATATCCCTCATGTTTTCTCTTACAAATCTTGTGTAGGTGTGCACATATATTACATCAGCTTTAAGACACTAGAACTTGCTTGTAATGACTCATGTTGTCAGTGCAAAATACAATATTCATCTGCTGCACATTTAAAAGCATGGAACACTCCTGGTGAGATTATAATGACTTTGAAGTGCTTAGTAATAATGCTTTTACAGGATCAAAGAAATCTATCAAAAAAAATGAGAGAATTACAACAAAAACAGCTTCTTTGAGTATTGACCAAGTCGGGACATACGCTAATGGATTAATTTGACAAAAAAGTATATAGGTAAACAATATTTGGCTATTTTCCTTTGATAGACTAAAGATACGAAGAGATAACTAACTCTTACTGTTGCATCTTTCCAAATTCTATGAAGACCTTATATACACTGACTTTGAAAGGTTTGTATTATTTAAATTCAAACACCTTCCTTAATCGGGAAAGTGTTCATTGTGTTTACTGTTTTCTCCTTAGTGAAGGAGTGAAAATCTGAAATTAATGGGCTCTTTCAATTACGATGGCATACTAATCTGATCAAACAGCACAGGTCTTTTTTCTACTTGTTTCAGGATAAATACATAAAATAAAATGCATTGCATTTTTCAAGATAATTGTATAACAGCAGACTGCTTATACGGGATACAGATATTATCTAAGGTTAAATTTATATGATTTTAACATCTAGAGGTGAAACAGATGTTATTTTGAAAAAGCCACTAAAAACAAGCTGCTTCAGCCATTGACCAGAATGTTACATTGTTAGCTAGGAAGTTGCTTGCATTTTTAGATCAAATGAAATAGTATTGTCCTGAACAAAGTTTTTAATGTATGATATTCACTAGTCTTAATAATCTTAACATTCAACGCTTGAATGTGCATAAGTTCAATTTAATTTAATTGTTTTTTTCAACACAACTAGTGTTTTTCTTGTAGAAAACAGGCACACATCACTTCCTGGAAAAAAAAAAATTGATACACAAGCGTCACATCCTTTGTTTTTGTGTTTAGTGTTGTTACTTTTTTTGCACAGAAACTGCATCAGTTCCAGAACTATAACACACTAATGGCTGTAGTTGGGGGGCTTTGCCACAGTTCTATCTCCAGATTAAAGGAAACCAGTTCACATGTACCCAGTGAGGTCACTAAGGTAATTATGAAAAAGAGTTTTCAATTTGCAACATAAAAATGTGCAAGCTCCAGTTTTATTTGATGTAAAATGATGTGAAACTTTTTAAGATAGCTTTACATTTTAATGACGCCTTTAGTTTATAAAATCCATAATCATGTAACTGAAATGTTTTGCAAGAAACAGATATTAGCTAGACTGTTCTTTATTACTTAGCATTTTTAGAAGAATTCAGCATTCTGTGTATGTTTTTAGTTACCCTTTTACTATTTGCTAGTTTATTGTGTGCCTATCCGTCATCATCAGAAAGCTGCCCAATCCTGGAAAGGATGGGATGCCAGTCTCTTGCAGTGCATAGTCACGTAGGGACAATATAGACATGAATTTACCTAGTCAGCAAGTCTTTGGAAGCCAGAGCACCCAATGAAAATGCTAGGAGAGCATGCACACTCTTCACAGAAGTCTTTAATTAAAATCCAGGACCTACCAGCTGTTAGGCAGCAACAGTATCTGCCATGCTCCATACTGTCCCACATTGTTCTTAAATGACATATAAAATAGACCAATGGTAAAACTGAGTAATATACTGGCAATATTATGCAGACTTCAGAGTATTACACTGAGTCTGTGTAAAGTTCTTTGAACATGGAATGATGTCTTTTGTAATACCCGGTAAAGATTCAGACTGGTGTGTAGCTGCTGCTTCATTCTTTTTACATTTAGTATTTTAATAGCATCTTTGTAACTCTGCCCATTCCTCTTTGTTGTTTGCACCTTTAGATAGGAAATCGAATCGATCAATAAATTCAGATTAGGAGTTACTGACAATGTGTTTTGTCTCTCTGTGAAGGTGCTTAATGAAATGACGGAGCTCCTGTCATCGTGTAGAAACTACGACAACTACAGGCGTGCGTACAGTGAGTGCACAGGATTCAAGATCCCAATTTTGGGCGTTCACCTTAAAGATCTCATCTCGGTATACGAAGCCATGCCTGACTACGTGGAAGATGGGAAGATCAATGTGCAGAAGCTACAGGCACTTTACAACCATATCAATGAGCTCATCCAGCTTCAGCAGCTAGCTCCTCGCTTAGATGCCAATAAAGACCTTGTTCATTTGCTAACGGTTAGTGAGATAATCTGCCACTCAGGGCTTTCGTAGCTTTACTCTTTCATGCACAGAAAAAGACAAGAACAAGACACATTAATTCTTCACTTTCTTGAAACGTGGTGGAGCAGATGGAAAAATAATTTACAGAACTAGGTCTTTTTTTTTTTAATACATTTTTTGAGTTTAGTACATGATCTCTAGGGTGGCACACATTCATTTCTTATGAAAATTTTCTTTTAAAGAAATGTCATATGTGCATGTGCTGTATACATCTTACTGTAGAGGGTTTTGAAAGTGCAACCATCATTCCACAAGGCGAGAGTCAGTCTTCTAAAAGGTTGTCCTTGGTAATCGACAATAATGAGATTCGTTACTTATGGGAACGTTTTGATTTGATGGAAATTCTTTTTTTATTTTAAACATAAATTTAACACACCATAGAGCTGTTCCGATTTCTGAGATTCACTGGGGTCCCAAAAGGGGTCGACCAGTAAAGAAACCTGTTCACTAATCTAAGCATCTCTGGTTTTTTATTACCTGTGTGAGACTGGGACTTCCCAAAGACTGGCACACAACTGGGTAAAGTGCCGCCATAGTTTTGTTTGCCAACTTATCTGTTGCAAAACCTGAAGAGTTGATTGGAGATTGGGCACTAATTATATGTCAAAAGGCCACAACCAGCTACAACATTAGCAATTTTCAGGACTGTTAACAGAGAGTTTTAGACATGCAAATTGCCAAACAGTTTCATGATTGTAATTCATAATGTAGTGCTACCCAGCCACTAGTGTGGTCATTTTCACCATAATGCTCTTTCACTCTATTGCTGTGATTGCTGATTTCTAAAGTTGAACATTACCACAAATAAATTCTCCTTTTATGAAATGTGGTCATGTGCAGATGTACTGTAAGCACTAGATATCTGGAAAGGAACTGGGGGAGAACAATTAGGAGATGGAATGCTTTAATCACAGTAATGATGAATAGGAAAGACACAATTTCACTGCTGTCATTCAGTTATGGTACACAAGCTCTGTAACTCCTGTGGGACATGCACATCATAGTTATTGTGTTGTTTTTATTCATCAATTCGGTGTTGCCTGAGAAAAGTGAAATTCTGAGGCTGATCTGAAAAACTGGTGGTACTGAGCTTGTCTGGGTATACTTGTCTTGCTGGGTATCAGTAGCTTTCAGTGTTACAGTGATCATTTAACATCCATTTGATGTTAATTCTGCTTTGGACACTGTGGCTTAAAGTGTAGAAAATGGCAGACAACTTAACAATTCACATGTCGGAGAAACTGTTCTTTAATGGGTCTGTAAATCTCAGTATATTTTATTTACCCTTCCTATAAAGTTAAAATGTATTTGCTGCCCCTCTCTTTGAGAATTACGCGGGATAACTTTATATTGACCTTTTTGTTGTGTTTTGTAGCTATCTTTAGATCTTTACTACACTGAAGATGAAATCTATGAGCTGTCCTATGCACGTGAGCCCAGGAATAGCAAAGCACCAGTGAGTCACGTTACTTTTCTCTAAACTTGTGAGGCAAAACCTCATTTATTCCAACTGCTTGAAAATGTAATTGCTACTCAGCAAGATTTTTTTCAAAGCCTTTTCACAAGCACTATTTTTAATTTTTTTATGATGCAGAAACAAAATCGCCTCTTTTCAATGTGTTAACATGAGAGAGACTGTTTTTCATGGGTCTCTTTCCATTTAAAAAAAACTACAATGTAACAAAAATCTGTATAACTATTTTTATGAAGGTTTCAGGTTGAATGTTTCAAATGTGATGAAAAATTTCCAGAGATCTGCAGTACAAATAAGCTCTTTACTACTACTAAAGTAAATATTTCAGCAAAAGATATACTTTGATACTGTAGAGTGACTGTGAACAGCTGTAAGTAATTAAAAGGTAAAATTTAGATAATGGTGCTGCCTTAGTGCCTTACGTCAAACCATTGGGTTTTCATGGAAAATCATTTATAATATTTTAAAGGTACATTTGGAAATAAAAGTGCAACTTGTGTTTTTGATGAAGAACAGGGACCTATTTTCTCTGCATGCTTGTTTTCTACTTATAAAAATGAAGTAACAGATGAGAGGTTCTCAATAAAATGCACAGTCAAGCTTACAAATGAGAAGTAATATTTTAGAAAACATTTTTTAAAGAGCATGAAATCCAGAATAGACTGAAATCCAAAGAAAGCTTTAAGGATATGCAGTGTACAATGTGTATATATATATAATATATGGAAAGATACATATATTTTTTGATCTCGCTGATTTGAAACAGCCTTCAAAATAACTTGAAAAACTGCTAATTTATATCAAGGTTTAAATAGGGTTGAATTCAAGGCTGTCTTTGGTCAGCTTTGTCTGTCTGCAGCTCTCAGCTGAAATTGTTTCTGAGCAACTGTAGTGACAGGCCTTCGTTTGTAAGGATTTAGACATTTCCATCGTTTATACATTTGGGAATTATGAGCTGTTTTTTTGAATTAATTAAAGAACCACGTATTTACATGATTTTCAGGGTCTAGGTCACAGTTTTAATTCTCATGAATGGAATGAGTAAAAAACCTGTTCTTAATTTACAAGACTGAAACAATAAATATTTTTGTTTTATTAATATTGTGAGTGCTGAAATGACAATGCCCCCAGCAAGAGGTTCTTATATTAATCACTGTTTGTTTCAGTAGAAGATAGAGATGCAAATATTGTATAAGGCTTTTAATCTCTAAAATGCAGTGATAAAACTTCCATAACTCCATTTTCTGCTGGAAGAAGAAGGTGGTTATAGGGTCTTCTGCAAAAGAAAGCTATGGTATCTGCTATTAAAGGGTTATTTGTTAGAATCACATTTGTAGAGTGACCATTTTTTTTTGTCCACAGTGGACATTTTCTGTCCATGTTGTGTAATATTTGTTCTCTGTGCACTGATGTTTTTTTCAGCCAGCAACACCTTCCAGACCTCCAGTAGTTGTGGACTGGGCATCAGGGGTCGCCCCAAAGCCAGACCCAAAGACCATCAGCAAACATGTACAGAGGATGGTGGATGTAGGTCTTTTCAGTAAAATTAATTGCTTACTACAGTATTATTAATCTATACGCAAGTGAATCATTTCATGGATGAATTCTATCAAAGATCCTTAAAGGAGAATTTTTCTCAAATTGTGATTTTGTTTGAAGGTTATATACCTTCAAAAGTCAGAACAGGTCTGGGAAAATAACTGCCAAATCAAAAGAGGGCTTTGGAAGAGTTGGTCATTAATTTATATTTGTTGTTCTTCGTACAGATTTCTGTGAGTTACATTTACTTTACCATACAACAAAATAAAATTGTAGAAGCAGAAGCGAAACTGGCTGGTTTAATGATAAATAGCTCCTGTTTTACTGCTGCTGTTCACAGTCTGACTGAAATCCCTTTTTTTAAAAAAAACTTTTGAAACCAAAACAGGGCTTAAGATCAGTGTGCATTAGTTGTACAGCGTATCAAAAAGTACAGAGAGACTTAAGCACCATTGTTTTCTCACTAATGGGATGTGTTTTCTTTTGCAGTCGGTGTTTAAGAATTATGACCATGACCAGAACGGATATATTTCTCAAGAAGACTTTGAGAAAATTGCTGCTAGTTTCCCGTTCTCCTTCTGTGTCATGGATAAAGAAAAGTGAGGAAAACATTTCATCATCAGTTCATTGCCCATATTAGTTTTGCCACATTTATATGAAAATGTATACCATGTTGTAAATGAAAATGAAGAGGTCAGCTATGAGTTACATTATATTTTCTTAAAAGTGACGAATGAGCTTTACACTCAGTGCTACTTTCACTTTTGAACAAACATTGTTACAGTACATAAGCTGTTTTAACAACCTGTTGATATCCAAACAGACATACAGTACATTATTTTTTAAATGGGAAGCTCGCTGAGCCTTCATGAAAGGTTCTTGAGAGGTAGGGTGAGGTATTAATTTGTTCAAGGTGTACTGTAAGTCTTAATTTCCAGCCCTTCTTGCTGCTTGCTCAAAAAAGAATTGTAGAAAGTACCTCCTAAACCTGACACGATACATATGCACTCAATACAACCATTAGGTGGTAGCAATATCTTTAATATTTCCTCTCTGGTTTCACTTCTGTACAGGGAAGGGCTTATCAGCAGAGAAGAAATCACTGCCTATTTCATGAGAGCCAGTGTCATCTGTTCCAAACTTGGCCTGGGTTTTATTCACAACTTCCAAGAGACTACTTATATGAAGCCAACGTTCTGTGACAACTGTGCTGGATTTGTAAGTGTTTAGTACAAGTATGTTATTCATTTCCCAGTTTGTAAAACATACGCTCTAGTAATGCATTACAAAATTACTTTAAAAAGAGAAAAGGTATAAATCGTGTGATAAGGAAAGACCTCCTCTGATTACTTCTGCATTTCAATGAAGTGGCCTGAGTGAGATAATTAATTCAGCTATTCTTTTTGCTTTTATGTATAGGGTGTCAGAAATGTATTTTATAACATATTCTTATTTTCTTTTGCAGCTGTGGGGTGTTATAAAGCAAGGATACAGATGCAGAGGTATTTATCTGGTTAATAATTTACATATGTGTAAGTGTGAAAGAAGTGAAACATCACTCTTTTTTATACCGTATGAAACTATGTATCAAGTTCACACACTTATAACATCATGAGCACTTACTACTCTAACTGAAAACTTAAGAACTAAAAAAATCTTAGTTTAACACGCATTCGAAATAGAGTTCTGTAATTTTAACAGTGACATGGATATTTTTGCATACAACAGCTGGTCAAAAGTCCTATACATTTCTCTGTTATACACCTTTATCCAGAGTGTAAAAGGTAAGCTGTCTTGTGGAGACACAGCCTGTGGTTTTTGTAGTAGACTGCAAGCTGAGCTCTGCAACTCGCATGAAAGAGAGCTTTCAAAGCGCAAGCCGATTTGAGAGCTGACATTTCAGACAGCACGTCGAAACCACAGTGACGTGCCTCAGTTTTTTTTTCCTCTGTCGACCTGTCTACAGACTGCGGAATGAACTGCCATAAGCAGTGCAAAGACCAGGTAGCATTTGAGTGCAAGAAGAACCCTAAGAGCAACACAGCAGACAGCAGCCCCACGTCAAGCTCCACCCCGACCGCACTCTGTCCTCCAGAGGTCAGAGGTTACGAGCACGGTGAGAACAGCTTCACACTTTCTTGTAGAACAAGTGAAAGTTAAAAATGTAGATCCTCATCTACAGAGCAAGGTTGGCCTATTAGTCATCAGAGAACTTTGCTACTTTGTTGCAATGCAGCATTCCAAGAAGGCCGTTTGATTTTGCCCATTATATGCCTTTAGCTGACATTTGGAATACATTTTGTGTTTGTGGAAATTAGCCTACAGACAAAATGCATATTGTGTCATTTAAAAGGGACCGTTGTGTAAGTATTTGCAAGGCAATTCTAAATATAAAGAGTGAAAAGGCAGTATATTTTAGCCCATGTCTTTTTTATATATTTTGATCAATGTAGTTTATGAAAATGCACAAGATTCAATGGATTGTAAAAATGTTCATATATGCTCAGTATAAAACACTTAAGTTTTCATAGCTTCTAACTGGGGGATTTAGAATACTTTGTGAAATATGTCTTTCCTCTAAATCTAAATAACATCTTAACATCTTTCTTTGAGTTACTGTAATTGATCAATGAGCAAGGAGGCCCGTAGGGTAATTTCCCTGTGTAGGTGGAACAAAAAGGTCATCACTGCCTCCAGCAAGCTGCACGTATAGTTCAGTCATAAATCTAGGAACTGATTAACTTACTGAAATACACTCTGTATTCCAAGAACAACTCCTTAACAAATACCTTTAAAGTTTATTTTGGGATGTTTATCATTGGATGATCAATTAAATGGTAAATAGTGTAGTATGTGTTTAAAAACTTGAAATATTTTTATTATCTCTGCTCAGTACATTTGAAACCATTGTAACCAAGAAAAAAAACAGCCACACCACACTCCAACTCCTCCTTAACTTGTCTCTCACAGGCTCTGAAGAAGGACAGTTTGCATATCATAATGGCGAATTAAATGAGCACGCTGACAAAGGCAAGGACTGGGAGCCAGCAACTTCAAGCGTCTCACAGCTGAGACACCCAAGAGAGCAGCACACCAGGGGAGTACATAAAAGCACCCAGACTGAGTGGCCCCTGACCCCGGAGCCCACACTCTTGCTACCCTCTCAACTGTCCCCCAGTCCCTCTCAGCTGTCCCCTGGTCCCTCTCCCCTAACCCCCTGTCCCAGTCCTGTGCCACAGCGCAAAAGAGCTTATGCCAAGTGGGAGAACCGGGCCTCCACCGTGCAGAAGCCAAAGGAGCAGGATGAACTGAACAAGCCGACCTATCAGCAGCTGGAAATGGTAAGTTGGGGGAGATGGGACATTTTTTGTTCCATAATGTAAATATGTATTGAGTATTTGATTATGAGGGATAAAACTCTTCATCTTGGCACTTAAAATTCACATTCCCCACGTTGGATCTTTTATAAAGAGACCTATACTACTAACCTGAAGGAAACAAAGTACAAATGCACTGGAGACCAGGAGTGAAAAAGTGATCGTAAAGTTCACTTTTTGACACACAGCTGAGTGACATGAGGGAGTTGCAGAAGGAAAGGTCAAAGTTTAAGAACCACAAAGCTAGTGGACATTTCTGTGAAAAAAAAGACAGTATATTTTTTAAAATATTAAATAATAACTGGGCTTATAAAAATGAGGTAAACAAAACTGCTGTAGTAATAGGCAAAGGGTGTATTTTGGCATACTGTTTATGAAACAGTAAATAATACAGTTTAAAAGATTATGCAACCTAGTTATTTTTCATTACAGTAAAAATAGATATGAAAACATTTTGATATCTTAAACTGTGTATGAACCCCAAGCTCGATAATAATAGCGTCCTGTGTACAAGGTCGAATCCTGTGTAGAAAATGTCTCTTGTTGAACATGGCATTTTTCCATGAAGCAGATTTTATGTTCATTGGTCTTTGGAAATGATGCTGATTTGCTTCTTGTTTGGCGACGATGTCTTTAGTGTACTTTTTCATACTAAAACTCTGAGCCGTTTCTGAGGAACACATTGAAACTGTATACAGAGAGGTGTGTCTGGCACAGGGAATTGCCCTGCTTTATCTTACGGAATCTTGATCCATTATCAGGAAAAGCAGAACCTTCAGAAGATCAATGAGACCCTGAGGAGGAAGCTGAAGGAAGCAGAGCGAGAGGTGGAGATCCTGAAGACCCTCCTGAAAAGACACACCCTCCACCCTGTGGAAGAGGACTCATCCTAACCCAGACTGCCAGGGCTGGGACTGCCAACTTTATTCAGGCACAGTTCCGACCTTTCTAAATGTCGACTAAACACTCGTTTGATATGCTGTTTGAAGACCCACCGCCTTTTGTGATGAGACAGTAGTGCTGTAAATCCAGCTCCTGTGTTTCTAGTCCTAATTGTGTATAGTACCAATCAAACCCTTTTTTGTTACCTACAGCCGTAGACTAGTTGTTTGTTTTTTTGTATGTTAGTGCCACCTCTGCTTCCGCATATGTGGAATTGAAAAGCGTACTTATTACACACAGAGAGCTGCAATTGTCACTCACACACACTCCAACTAGTGTTGTGTACTAGATAAGCTATATACAGTATGTATATAAATATGTAAATCCATAGAGATTTCAAGATCAGCACCCTGTAAAGTTATGTAGTTACATTTATTGAATGGAACAGTTCATGACTGGTTGTGACACTTTGTTTAATGTAAAACAGTAGGGCCACCTGGTGGAGAAAAGAAACCTGAGTCTTTATTTCTAGGGGATTTACCCACTGTGACTTGTTTAAAAGAGGGTCGTAACAAATGGAGATCATTACACAGTACAGACAACACATTAAAAACTTTTGGAAAGTTTTGGCAACAAGAAGAATTCAGCAAATGAAAAAAGAACAGACTGAGCATTGATCTGCAAATCAAAGCAACCCTAAATAATTTACAGTATTTGAGATATATTGTCGGATTCCATCTTTTTTCTGTCTTCTAAGTTGTGAAGTCATAGGGGAGAGCCCTTGGAGAAAACATTAACAGTAAATTGTGTTGACCGTGTCGCAGTGAGCAACTCATGGACAACACAAAGTCTTTCTTTAACTTGGAAAGATGTAAATAATTACAGAATTAATGCCTGGAACACAACTATTATCTTGGTAGAATCACAAAGCAGGAGTGATTTTTTTTGTGTTCCTTTTAATTATCTGCTCAGCATTCTTAAATAATTATTTATTTAAAAATCAACTGTATTACGACTAAATGTAGCAAATCTAAGGTTACTTTGCACTTGATATATGATTTTAATACAAATTAAGCATTGTGCACACATTGGTACTTGGGCAGTTTCATACATCACACAGTAGTGGGTTATTGTACACACAATCCCATCTTCCTGCATTACTTTTGTAAAGTTCTGAGAAATATAACCATATTTTAATATCCATTTATAAATATCTGTATAAATGTAAAACTTTTCTGTCGGTTCAGAACAAATGTAATATTAATTTAAATGTTGCTCCATGTGTTTTATGTGTTGTAAAATTATAGTGTATGTAGTAAGTCTCCTTCAGCTCAGACCTCCAGACTGCTAGTCTTCTTAGTAAAAGCACCAAAAGAAAATGTAAAAGGTGCAAGGTGACTTCTGTAAATTCCTTAATGTATTTTGTACTATGTATATATGTAAATTTCCATCCTGTACATATTTATGGTGTTACTGAACAGTCTTATCTGTGGGGTTCTTGAAAAGTATCAAAACTGTGGAATAACTAACAATAAATACAGTTCCATGTAATTCTGCTATTAATTAATATAACTACCTACTGTATCAACTTTCATTTGATTTTTTAAATATAAATCGGTGATGTTGTGTTGTGACAACACTGCTCTACTAAATATTAGACAGTATGTGCCCTCTGGTGGATGTATTCCAAAACTGTTTTGCTATCTTAAAAACAAGCCACAGCAGTAAACTACACCCACTTTCTTTTTAAATAGTCATCAGTTATAGTTTTCATTATACAAGTCTCAACTCTGGTTTCAACATGAGCACACTAAGAGCTGCATTAATTACTTTACTGGTACTGCACTTCACAAGTGAAATCATTTTGGTTCAATACATGTTCTAATTTTTAAACCTTGAAGAATATTTAAGCAACAATGTAATGAGTTATGGAACATTGTTCAAAAGAAACTGTGCCTCGGTATTTAGATCAGTGTCCCTCTGAAAGTTGTTACCTGTATTTTTTTCCCAAATAGAGTATTCTGAGATGCAGGCTACCATTTGATTGGTGTTCACAGTAGCATGGATACATGCCTGACAAAATGGAACCAGATAGAATGATTATTTACTTGTAAGTTTCAATAATAAACCTGTAGTAATTATTAATTTCTTAAAAAAATGATGTGCATGTGATGTTAGGATATTTCATTTCTAATAGTTGATAATTAGAAAAGTGCACATCTAAATGCATTAAGACACAAACTACATTTATTTTGACATTGACAAATGGGCTCCATTTTAATCTTTTGAAATTCTAAAGAAACTGAAATTCTCAGATGTATTTCTTCATACCAAAAAATACAATTTCACCAAAGACCACTAAAGCATTGTGTGAATTTTTATTTAAGTTCAGGAAAACACTCACGATGATACAAAAACAAAGCACTCTTTAAAAAAAAAAGTTTTTTAGGACCTTCCAAACTCAAATTTCATTATCTTAGAACACCATACAAGCTCTCTTCTACTGTATTACTACATTCAGTTGGGAGGGTTCACAGTAGGAATAATCTTAATTCTGACTCTGTAGTTGAACAATTCAAACAAAATATTTCCCTCTGAATGAAAAAAAAAGATTCCCTCTTAAATAAAACATCTAAAAAACACAAATTGCAACATAATCGTTGACTATTATTTTATCATCAATTATTCCCCACTATACAAAGAAGAGTAAACATGATGGTCATATAGTGTACATAGTTAACTTCAAGAGATAAGGAATAACACTTCACCTGGTGTTTTGAATAGAATATAACAAATCAATAACGGTTGTACCCTCCTCTTCCTCCATAACCTCTTCTTCCTCCTCCTCCTTTTCCCCAGTGCCCGCCTCCCCCACCTCTCCCTCCCCCTCTGCCTCCCCAGCCTCCCCTCCCACCGCCATCCTGCCTCTTCTGCCAGGGAGGCATTTCTGGACACGGGGCCTCAATCTCAGAAGGTCGTCCGCCACGGTCAGGCACTCCTCCCATCAGAACCTGCGAAGAAAATCCCATCCCAAACGTCAGCTCAGGGGTAAAAAAACAGCCATGGTAAAGCATCTTCAGTGGCTCAGTCTACTGCTGTTGCACACTTTCTGCAGAGACACGCCAGACAAAATGATGTCTGATGCTTCCTTTGCTTAAAAAGTTTTAGAAGTGAAAGAGGGTTGAAAACATTTAGATATTTTTATTTTACAGACTTCCATTGTACAACTCAGATCTAATATCAGGCAAAAAAAGTACTAGAAATGTGTAAATTGCACTGATCATACCTTATTAATTGGGCATACTGTCCTTTCTCTAGTTGATCCACTGCTCGTCTTTACAACGTTGCAGATGTCTTCTCTAGCAGCTAGCAGGCGGGCAAGACCTACCGTGGTCTTGGAAGAAAGTGAATGTCTTTTGGGTTGATAAGCTTTCGCCATGTTATCTATTTGATCCTAAAAATGGCAACAAAGAAATACAGATGTGAACAAATCACAATTAAGCTGCAAGGAATAAACACTTTTTCATCTGCCTTGTAAACTAAAACTTAACGTGCACACTGTTATAGACCCTTGTATTTTAGTTATTCTTGGTAAACAGAACTCACAGATGGGGAAGAATTAATGTTTTCTCATTAGCAGAAGAACTTGCAACCACAGCATTTCTTTTACAGTACACAAATACCAGTAGAAAGATAAGACACATTTTTTTATCTCTGAAGGTCCAATCAAACAAATGTAAACTTAAACAGCATTGCACTTGCTTTGGTAATTTCTGAATTCTTTCTTTACAACTATCCTAGATGGACAAAAAATAAGTAAAGTATTTAAGATACAGTTACAACCCCATAGCACTGCTGCAAAGCAATCCAAAATACCAAATAACAAAAACCTCTAAGGGAAATAATCAACAAACTAACATTTTTGAAGACAGTAAAACAAAAGACTAACAGATGTCAAGATGCATAGTTTAGGCCCTGGCCTGGTTTGCATGACTGGTTTTGTAACTGTATTTCAGTCTTCCAGCCTCAAGATACCAGATGCAGCCTCCTCATTAAGCCACTAGTTGAGCAATCATTAACAATTATTACATTGCGTTACTTTAATCAACTTAATTACTCTTCCTATTACTATATATTCCAAACATCAGCACAGTGATTAACAGAGGAGTGTGATGGCTATAGACTCATTTAATCATGCATCCCAGTGTTAGTAATATACAGAATTTCAGAAACTGTCAATAATCTATCAAAAGGCTTTCCCCCTTCCATCAGTGATTCCTCAGCTATTCATATCTAAAATACCTACATATCCAAAGTCTAGAAAATCAAAACATGCAAGATGTATAAAAATATTACAAGAACTGTTAGCAAGAAGCAAATACAGTAACTGTCACTTATGGTGAAAGAAACATTTTAGTGCATAATATTTCAATATTATCAGTTGGTTAATCCTAATCAGTGTTCTGTCACATATTGACAATATTCTGTTAAAGCAGTGGAAAGTATAAAGAAGCATACTTATAGAGGATCAGATGTTTTGATCTGTTTTTAGGTTTTCCTCTTGCACAGAAGGTTTGGGTAAATATTCCTTTCGACCTGACCAGCTGTAGAAACTACCTTATTTAATAAATTTTGTTAATAAATGCATGTAGTTTGAGGTCACTGATTTTCTGTTCCAGGGGAATATGAGTACAGATAAAAGCCTATGTTAAGTCATATATAACTGCAGATTCAAGTTCCAAACCTTCTTAAACTTTCTGGGGGGTTTTCTGGAGGACACTTTCCTACCACTTTTGTTATGTTTTTGTGATCTTAGCTGACTGATACCTTGTGCATGAATTTGCTCAAATAATGTCAGTATGCCCATTTGTAGGTCTCTATTATTTATTTTAAATTTTAACCACAAAAACTATTTCTCATTATATGAGTATTTTTCTAACAGTTACTGAGTTGATTTCTAATTTATGATGTATGTTAGCTTAACCAAAAGGCTACAGGGACACGTTTAAGCATTATAAATTAAATATGGGATTCAAAAACAAGTCCTGCAAAATGCACGGGCTTAGCCACAGCAAATGAGACTTACTTTTGCTCTTTCAGACCAGCTGAAGGACTGTACAGTTACGTCAAGCCTTTTTATTAACATCCTCCGGCGACATTCGTACTCGGCAGAAAGTACTGAGTTGATCTCCTCTAGTTTTGCCTGCAAATTTGAGATAACGAAAAAATAACGCACCAGAAAACAATGACAAGCCTTGGATACATGCAGCACTTTTGCAGAGATATGTTTCATTAGAAGTATTGTCTTCATATCTAAATAAATTAAGATCTGACTGAATTATGCATGTATGTGACCAGGCTAGGTTTGAGTGACAGAACTGTAAAACAAATAGTTATCTTTAACTCTGAAATCTGAACCCATGAAACTTCTTAAACTGGAAATACTGGACTAATGCAAATCCTATTTTCAGTCATTTGACTTTGACTCATCATTGTCTTCATCTGTGTTACAAGGGAAAAGCAAACAAAAGTATACATTATAAACACAGAATGGAAATTGAATATTAAGGTTCTACAATAGCCCAGTGAGATATCATTTAGAATACTGCTAACAATTCTGGCTGATACACTGCACAAACACAAGAAAATCACAGTACACGTAATAAAATCCTGTCTAAAAGTCACTTAACCTCTTGAGGTTTGATCAGAAGAGATTGCAAAAACCAGAACTACTAAAAAATCTTGAATGGTTTTCACACCTTGGACAGGATCAAGTGTCTGAATTATTGCCACTGCATTCCATCACAAAGTGTTCAGTAAGTGTGCTTACCCACTGATCAGAGTTGAGTCCTGACTTCAGTACTGGCTTTCCTACACAGTCCGTTGGCGCTTTTGCAAACAAATCATCTATCTGTATTAAAAACAAGATAAAATGAAAAAGATCAAATAAAAATTAGTTTATGTCTTTCACAGGCTTTCTTCTGCTATGCTGACTAATTTAATTAATTGGGAGGGGTGACACTGAAGCAATTATCTCGCTAGTGTGTACTTTCCTCCAAAACTGCCAGTGCAACGCTCTTCCAGCAATTTTCAGGCTGCACATAGCACTGTACCTACCATAAACTTACCATTGATTAAGACAAATGATGCAGCTCCTTATACAATCTCCCAGGTATCCAAGGGCCTGGTAAGACAAAGAAATACCGGAAGGCTCAAGCCCACCTTTTCAGGCAGTGCTCAGCCAGTTGTGTGCCTTCACCTAGGGAATCCAGCCAGCCAACGACACAGCCCGGACATAAAGGTACAACATTTTAGCAACTAAAATTGACAACCATTGGTTTCATTCACCACTGGAGTGCACTATCCACCTGGGTGACGCATGGCGACTATTATTCAACAGCAGCCTTACAGTGCAGCAGATCATGTGGATGAATGACAAACTGCTTCACCAAATGAAACAAGGTAGAACTTTAAGAAGGCCAGACTGTACAAATCCTGAGTGAACTGTAGCCAAGGCACTAAGGTTAACACCCCTATTCTTAGAAACAGTGTCCCAGAGTCTTTAGTCAGCACATCAGTTAACATCTCATGCATTGTTTTTTGAAAATTCTGGTTCAAAGATTCTGCAGCAGTACAACTAAAGCACCTACCTTTGTCTCAATGCTGGAAAATAACTTTGCGTCGATCTCCTTTGGCTCAGGTAGTTTAAGTGTTCTGCAGATGGCCTTCAAATCATGTAAGGCTACGTTTCTTTGCTCAGGTGTGCAGCTCGGTTGTAATTTGCTTTCTATTATCATCGCAGCTTGAAGCTCTGAACTCAGATATACTGCAAAAACAGATAAAACAAATTCAACAACACTCTATTCTGGGGTGTTAGAGAGATCCATTAAGGGGTAAGTTAAAGGCATCTTTTTTACACTGTTACAAAATGAAGAACATACTGGCTGGGAAGTTATCACAGTGAACATTTTACTAAACTACAATTAATCTTTGTTCATCTGTCTTCTTTCGCATACAAGCCTACACACCCCACTGCTTTTAAAGTATCAAAACATTTTTAAAGAATAACCCTCACCTGAATGAAGAAAAAATAAACTTGAACCACTTCAAAACCACGATGCAAACATACAGCTAGTTTTGCTTTATGGTCTATGCACAGTGTAAACAGTAGTTTGCAGAGTCATTATATGGAGATTATCATCTAGAGTACAAGTGGTTAAAGGCCCCTTTCAAACTGGGCTAAACTGCTCAGGCTGCATTTTTATCACTCTAACATTGTTGCAACTGTACAGACATTCAGGTATTGCAAGGGATTATCAGTAAAAAAAATTATGAGCAGAAGGCCAGAAAGAAAATCTGATATGCAAAAGAAGGTTCAGCATCTACTGAAAAAAAAAACCTTACACCCTCGTACTGATTTCATGAGGGTGCATGAACTGGCTGAATTGTTAGAAGATTCCATTTTTAAGCAGTTCTCCAACTCTCATAAAATCAGTCAGTCAGCAACTGCCTTTTTAAAGACATGCATTGGGTTTTGGAAAATTCCCTCCATAAAATACCTATTTCTCTGGCTAAAAGGGACCTAAATGTAATTCGGTGATTTGCTGAAATACAATGCTAGCACACAGTATTTATACTATATGATACACAGGAATAACTGTCATCACATTACTCCATGAGAGAACATACAAGAAGTGCCTTATACTGTCAGAATAAAATATATACCACACCATTGTTTTAAAAGCAAATGGACATCTAAAAATACTGTACCTATAACCTACCTAAGACTTGTATACTATCCAAAACTTACATGAAACTCGTGATTGCTTACCAGACTCAATTTCCTTTGTAAGAGTTGAAATGAAAATTGCAACAATATGTAGTAACAGGGAACAGCTATAACAACAGAGTGTCACGAAATGCTGTGCTATAGTCCATGGAGCAGAAATTACCACCTTCTATTCAATCAGAGTAAGGGATGAATTAGCATAAAATCCCTGCACAGAGAATGTAAGTCTGTGTCTAATAAATTTTAATGTAAGAAAATTATTTTAAGCAAGGATTTGTGGTGAAAAGTTTAGAAAATGTAACTGACCCTTGTGTTCAGTACATCAAGTTGGTAAACTTTCCAAAACGTTTAGGCAGGTCAAGTCATAACACTGAAATAATTCAGTAGATATTTTGGTGTAAATCCAATTCTTAGAAAGCATGGTATTTTTTTTTTATTTTGAAATTCACCTTAAGACTTCCTATTTTTTTTTAAAGAAAATATTGTTAAAACACAATACATTTCAGAAGCTTTGTGGAAAGACACTCCTAACCACACTTTGGGTCTCCCCATTAGATTTCGGCAAAGTGTGGTGCATTGGGGTCTTTCAGATTGTGACAAATCACTGAGAAATTGGGACTGTGTATTGTCATATTAGACTCAGGAGCAAACACCCCAGTTAACAGGCAATAGAGTGCTGACATTTACTTGCCTCCCACATACTAATGGCACAAATGAGCATTTTTCTTTCTAAGCAGGGCACACTATTTTCTTTTTATATATTTCTTTATTTTCACCAGGGCTTACAATGAACAGGAAAAATCACCACATCACCTGTACACAATCAACTCACTAATGAAGCTTAGACAACTTTCAAAGTGAGTTTACAGTACCACAGTCACTTCTGAATGTTCAATTAAATTAAAATGCCACCAAAAACTAATATACAGAGTTCGATTATGAATATATTTTGAAAACAGGAATGAATGTCTGTTTAAGTAGAAATTCCTGGAGGCATAACAGAATATTTGACAATGTAGTTAACAGGAACATTTATGACTTACAGAGAAGCTTGAGACAGTTTGTTTTGTTCTTCAGTCTTCCCTGGACCTCTCCAGTAATGAGTGGAGGACACGGACAGCCCATTTCTTTTAGTAAACCGCTGATTTCAAGCTGAAGACCCTCGATATCATCTTTTTAAACAAAATCAATAAAAAGGATGTAGAAGAGAGGAAACTTAGTATCGATTTAATAAAAAAAGAGGTCATGGATTAGGATATCTTCAAAAATTCAAAAAGAACAATTGTTCAATTATTTTGTGCGTAAAATAGAGAATAGGCTATGAATACTGTTTACCTGAAGCAGTTGTGATGTTCTCCTCAAGATTGCAAAGCTGTTTTAGCTGGGTTGTCAGCCACACACAAAGATTTACGTACTCGTGGGAAGACAAACCGCTTTCTGATGCTTTTATAAGCGTTTCTTCATCCAGTAAAGGCCCGGTATACCTATAAAATAACAAGTATCATTGCTGCCAGAACGCATACAAAACGGTGAAAAAAATAAAAACGCAGAGTTTATTTGGTCAACTATGCATTATTGAATAAAGAAAACGCAAGAAAGGTCGATATTTTGTAGTTTTTTATATGAATAACGTTTACAAGCAAGGCTATGAAAAGCAGCACCTGAAAAAAAACACTTACCCGAGTTGCTCTAAAGTATCCAGAATATCGCACTCCATTGTCAGGTATTTAACAACAGTCACAAATAACTATCTTTCCCCTCAATACGCCGCCATGTATAAATAAAAATCAATTTAACAACGTGCACCAAAAGCACACGGTGTCGCACAAAATACAATACAGAAGGCAACACGTACTCATATTCTATTGGTTCCGAGGTTAGAAGCTTTACGAGTTTCTAAACAGGCCGAGTATGTAGAAACACATATAACCACAATAATCCTTAATCTGCTTTTTTATTTTTCTTATATTCTATGTGAGGACAGAGTATTGTCCTCACTCCAGTTCCTGTGAGTAGCACTTGGCACGAAAAATATACTGTAGCATTAAAAAGTGTTCCGAGTTCTCCCGTAGGTAAATTAAATGTTTTGCTCTATAAGCAGCGGTGATTTACTATCCTCGTGCAAAGTAAAGTAACGCCGCGAACGGCAGCACTCCTTGACCACATCAAAATTGCCGTCTCGCTTGCAGCCAGCTGTAAGTTTTAGTCCAGCTCAAGGGGCTGTTACAGACGGAAATTAACAAAACCACAGAACAAAAACTCAAAGATAAATAATTACTATTCTGTCAATATCTGATCCCAACAGGCCCCACAGTGTAGGGATTTATTAAGTACACTTTAAGTTATGAGAGCGAAATATGGCATCCAGAGACCAGTGAACAGGCACAGACCATTTTCCAAGCTGTAGAAGTGAAAAGTGACAGAATTTAACAGTGACGTTTTGCAAAGCACATCACAGATGTACAGCTTATATTGCTTTCATTGGTGGCCACACATCCTACCTGTGATCTCACTGTAGGCCCCCTGTTGATGAATCCTATTTGAGGACAAATGTTAATCAGCATCATTTTCCTTTTCTGTGTTCAAAAATGGTACTGGGCTGGTAAAGAGGGGCTCTTCTTTTGCCAGCAGCTACACTACTATGCAACTCGCAATTGGAAACCAACAGAAGCTAAGTAGGTGTGAACCTGGCCAGTACCTGGATAGGAGACCTCCTGGGAAAGCTAAGGTTGCTGCTGTAAGAGATGTCAGTGAGACCAGTAGGAAGCGCTCACTCTGTGCGAGTCCTAATGCCACAGTATAAGTATGGGGACCCTATAAAAACAGGTGCTGTCCTTTGGATGAGATGTAAGAACAAGGTCCTGACTCTCATTGGTCATTAAAAACCCCCAGCTATTTCTTGAAAAGATTAGGGGTGTTACCCCAATGTCCTGGCCCTGGCCTTTACCAATCATGGCCTCCTTATAATCCCCATCTATAAATTGGCTTCATCACTCTGTTCTCCTCCTGACTGAGGAGCGTAGCATGTGGGGAGCGTTCTGGCGCATCATCCAGGTGGGCGTTACACACTGGGGGTGGTGGGGAGGAGTGCATTACCTGTAAAGCACTTTGAGTGGAGTCTCTAGAAAAGCGCTAGTTGACAGTATTACTATTAAAATTTGGGCCTCTGCCTCAGGTACAGGCTGCTGAAGAGAGCTTCCTTGCTCACTCTCCCATCCTTCAGGAGGTGTGGTGTCAGTTTGCAGAGCTTCCTATGCACGGGTTTACATCTAGCACTATGCCAGTCTCTGCAAGCAGGGGCAGCATATCAGCACTGCTGTTGGAAGGGGAAGTCGAACTGTCTTCTTCGATGGCCCCTCGATTCCCAGGTCCTTTCCGACTGCACCTTCTGCTCTTGCCCCTAATTTGGAGGTAAATCCACGGTAAAACAAGATGTCTGCTTGAGTAACCTAATCAGCCTGACAGTAAGGGCCACTGTACGAGTCCTTTGGGAACAAATGGAAGGAAGAAGGAACAGTGAGTTACTCTGCCCACAAGGGGGAGTAATACCAGGAGGAGGGAGCATTCCCTTCACACAGATTCAAAGCACCAAACCTCTAATCCATGGAATATAAATTTGACGGGTAAAGGTTTATTCCATGCTTCAGGACACCTGAAGAATGCTCCACAGCCAAAATATTGTCTCTCTTTTCTTTTCCATTCATCATGGAATAAACCTTTAACTGTTCCTTCGCAGCCTATACATGCTTACACATACCTACATGAGTATAAACCTTGATGGCCTAGCATGCACACTCACTCTCCCACACATAGATGGTCAGAAACACAACAAATTGGTCACATAACACTTAACAATGGAAAAATAACAAAATGACCACCCTGTCAGCCACTGTCCTACAGTGCTGGGCTTCATTAATTGCAGTGCAGTTGCTGTAGTCCTATCCGCATTGCAAGAAACCCACCGGCTTCCAGGCACCACAACATTTTGTTTTGCGGCAATAGGAAGCTTGCCAAAAATGTTTACAGTACATCTCATGAATCATTGGCATTTTGAGTTATGAAAGTGCTTAGAACACTGAATAAGCAAAGAAAAGTTTTCCTGTCTCCCAGCTGTAGGTCTTAAGTTTTAACTTTTGCACAAACTTCAAAGCTCTACTCCACACCACTTTATTCAATCTTTATGTTTGTTCCACAATGGGAGCGGCCTCCAAATTCATTTCCCATAATTCTTCAATCTTCGGCTAACAATTGTCTCTTTTTGTGTGTGACCATTTTATTAATAAGGTCATTATCAATAACTACAATTACGAAGGCTAAGAACTGCAATTAGGTCCAACAACCTGTATATACAGATAAAAATGTATGGTGTTCAGAGTAAAGGTTTTAAGATAGAAGAAATTTGTGTGATCAGTTTCTTTGCCTTCTTCCACTCTTCCAATGACTCTGCATGTGATTGAGTCTAAAACCATTTTGAGCTGAGGTACAGTATAAACTGCTTTAAACTGAATTATTGTAGTCATGCACAAGCAATATTGCTCTTTAATCAATAGCTCCACATGATGTACTGTTTTTTACTCTTATAATGCAGTTATCTAGTCAATATAGGAGCTTTTTTGGAAAATGATACGTTGATAGGAAAAAATTAAACATCTCCACACCTTAACATTTATCAGCCATCAAAGACCAATGTGCTTTAAGAGTCATCCACATCATTATGTGTAAAATAACTTCAAAGAGACTTCTGCTGTGGGAATTTCTGAAATTTAACCATGGTATCTGGTGATTAATTTGTAAATGAAAATCTCTGTTGAAACAAAAATCCAAAATTTTTATCTACACATCACTATATGTGACTAGCTATCATTAAATATTTATACATCAGTGAATGTTCTGTGGCAGTGAAGTACTATGAATCAGGTAAGTAGGTTTGCATGCTGTAATCACTATGTGAAAACTTCCGGGAGAAAATAAAGCCTAGACTATCTCAAGAACTGTTAAATCATCTTCCTTTGATTTTCAATAATTCCAAAAACTATGGCTAGGTTTTTCTATTAAGTGGTGTGCATGAGGACTCATAATATACATTGATACCAATCATATATCCCAATAAATTAAGGTAGCACATATCTATTCCTAATTATTCCATATCCTATGACAAAGATTGTGCTACATTACTTCAATTAGTTTTTACTTACCAGCAATCATAATTAGGCTCTGGAAATACTTCTCAATTTAAAACATCTAGGGTTAGAATCAAAAGTTAACATAAATCTACTAAGATGTCTTTGTGCTACAACACTAACTTTTAAGAACTGCTAATAGGTATGCTTGTTACCAGACAGCATTTATAATAAAAAAAACCTTGATGAGCGTATCAAGAGCTCAAACATACATATACACATCTAAAAAAAGATATAATAGTAAAAAAAGAGTAACTCAGACACCAAAACCTATCTTTTATTCCTCCTTAAAATATAGCAAATATTCCTATGACCAAATGTAGCCAATTGCTTATAAAAAAATTTGGCACCACTAAAATCAGAAACCCTAATAATTCAGAGCTTTTTTGGTCAGACTGTGCTACTGTGTTAAGACAGCTGCTACTCTACTGTATATGGAATTCAATAATACAATACAGTCACAAACTAAAAGAGCAAGCATGAAGCATCCAATAAGTAAGTTTAAGTATAAGTGACTGTCCAGCAGATGTAGACAATGCCATATACTATATATTACTAAAGAATAAGGTTATCAAAGACGTGCAGACAGTTTCCAATAAATCTCAACGTCTATACTTCTAAAAAATGTCAACAGAACATCATTTACACACAATGCAGACCAGCCTTGAAGGGTCATGCAATATACTGGGTATTACATTCAAAAGTGAATGTAATAATGTCTTCATAGTTTCTTCCCTTCTACTTAAAGCAAATAGGGTGAAACATTTAAGGCTTCAGTGCATTATGCAAACATAAATAATAAATACCTGAAGTAATATTAATCTTTTGCTCTGATATTACCATAAACTATTAACATTACTTCACATTGCTTCTTAATTTTAGAAGTTTACCCAAATAAAACAAACCTTAAATACTGAGATTAGACGCAGCCGATTAAAACTCACTGTTTTATTATGATAATGTTATTTGATATGTCAAATTACAAGTGTATGATGTAACATAAAAACAGTTACAAACTTATATATATGCATATTTACATTATATACTTGTGAAAAGTAACAAGCTACATCTGTATATGTATAAAGAAAATAACTACGACATGAGTTATTGAACTAAAATTGTACATCATATACTTGGTATTTTTAAACCATAATAAAAATACCTAAAACATATATAAACAAATATAAACAGAACAAGAGCTGTTAAGATTTTAATGGAAACTATAATAGATGTGAGGCACTTTTTTGAGGTCGTTAGGGTGTGAAGCAAATGGCACTAAAGCAAACAAAATCAAACAAAACAAAAGAACAGGCAGTGTTTACAAAATAAACATTGGAGTACCATTTATACCGCAGTTTCAAACACAAATGTTTCCCACAATTTAATGCTTTAGAACTAATCACATAAAAGTTACATCATCAAAAGCTGTTAAGAATAAAAAGCTTAAATGTATCAGTGCACCAAAGCATTAGAGGATTAGAATAACCACTTGGCTGCTGGAGAAAGTAACACGTTTTACAATACATTGAAGGAAAACAAGTTAATACAGGCATTATGCTTTTTTTAAACCTAGACGAAGGTGAGAGTGTACACCTTTCTGCATTCCAAAACTATGCATTGATCTGTTTCATAAAAAAATACTAGCAGCAAAGTGGTTAGGAACTTAAATCATACATATGCAATTTAACAGACAGATAAAAAAATATTAGAGCAGACACACGTTGCATATAAAATACAGTACATAACCAGGTGTTGCACTGTGCTGGTTAATACAGAAGGAAACTTATTAGTTTGTCCCAAAAATATATACAAATCTTCCTAGATTTTGCTTTACAGCCAGCAAGTTTTATTAGGTTCATCAAACCTTGGTACAGCTCGCACTATGCAAAGCAATCAAATTCCTGACTCCAGAAGGAAACAAAAAAGCGTTTAAAAAAAAACATGAGAACCTACAACAAAACACAATTCTCTCAGTGTCTTGGTTTTCAACCAACTGAGTTAGGTTATGTATTAACAGTCTTTTGAAATTTAAAAAGGTGATTTTTTTACATAATGAAATTAGTGATTGTTTCTAGCAGCTTTAGATATCAAACTTTTAAAAATAAGTGGACTGCCACTAATGTACCGCGTTAACTTTCTCTGTCCTTATTTTTCAATACAAAACTAGAAAGAAACTCTTATTAAAACCTCTAAAGTCATTTCTCTGTTACATACCCCCTCTACTTTTCAATGTGAAATAATACTCAAAGGTGCCCTATATACATAATGCTGTCAGTTCAAGCTATTCACTCACAGCTGTGATAAATAAGATGCTTTATTTTTAAATTCAGGATGGGACATTATTATTTTTTAAATATAGTGTTATGTATTTACAATGGTTTGTACCTGGGCTAACATCTAAATTATTAAAGTGTCAGATCCATTGTTTAATGCAGACAGATATAAGCCTTAGGATTTCCACAAGGTACAAGTTGCATAGAAAGTAAAGAAATACTTAGTGTCAAAATGTTGTCACCACCAATGCAGAGTAAGATTCAGAAGTAGCATGCTTCTCAATGTCCATACCTCATACAGTATAGCCTTTAAATGCAGGTTTAACTATTTTTACAGACAGGATATGACTATTAACAGTCTGTGGGAAATGCATATTTCCTGTCATGAAGTCCTTAGTAGGAAAAATACACTCCTATCATGTACAATTTCTAAGCCACAATGAAAAGGGGGATGTTTTTCCATATTTATCTTCAACTAATCTCATGAAAGGTGTACACCTTAATCAAAACATCTGCTATTATTAAGAGAAGACAAGTTAATGTACATTATGAGTGACAAAATCAAGGCGAGTGAATAATGGCAGGAAAGGGTAAATACTAATGTAGTATGAATTTAGGATTTATCACATACCAAGCTTAAATTGAATTCTAACTGTGGTACGTAGTGTATAAATAAGTACTATTAAAAGTGACCAATATAAAAGGGAAATTTGAGATTTCATGGATTATTATTACAGATTGCCTATTGACATTGTACACATGAGTACATGTGGTTTTATATAGATAAATAATCACGCACACACACACACTTAGCTATATGTGAATGTATATATATTTATATATGTATACATATATACATACATACTTACACACGTGCTGTAGAACATTTCACACTAACAAGGAACGTACACAAAGTAGCTTGGGAATTTGGTCACTATGCTGTAACCAAAGCTTGGAAACCAGTGCTTAAAAAGATTTTAGTATCCTTATAATCTGGAATAATACCATTATATTTGAAGCAAAGCAATTCTATGCTGGGCGTGGTCAGTAAATGTACCTCTAATTCAAAAGCAATCATGTGCTGGACTTTTAAGAAGGGGATTACTCGAAACAACAAAAAAACTTGCTGGTTGAGCAAAATTTCAGCTTTTAACAAACTAAAATAAAATTATACTGCAGTTTCAGTAGAAATCGGACACAAAGGGGCAAAAACACTGGATCAGGTATCTGGATTTAAAGTGTAGATATTGGTCAAGAGGTTGCATAAACCAAAAAATAAAATAAAATGCAAGGACAAATGTGCATTATCACCAGAAAAGGGGAGGGTACTGCAAATAGATTACATATTTATTCTACCTATGGAATTAATTTCTTTAAGGTGGAATGCAATACCATGGTCCAATAATCTTATTAGTATGGGCTCTCAATGTATGTTAAACAAAATATCTAATCGTACCTTTAATTGTATGGCGTTACTCATTTTTTTCACACAAAAAAGAAAAAAGAAAAATGTCCACCACAGAATAACATCTCAGCACTGCTAAGCAAGGATTAAGTTGCACTCACAACTGTTTAATTACCATTTGAATTAATGAAAGTTACCTTTCAGGAAATAAATTTTAAACCGACGTGTTATCTAGTGCATTTTAGTCTAAAAATTACACTGTCAGCAAATGCTTTAGTAATGAAAGGCCCCTGTCACCCAACTGCAAAATTCACAAAAAAGCAAGAACATATCCCTTTTAGCATACTCAAACAGTATATTCTCTGTACTTAGCTTAGAAGGCAATGTGCTGCCTTCCATACAAAAAACAAACTCCTTCACAAGTTACACTATGCGTATGAAAAAGATAGGCATGGTGGCCTTGTTTAGTAATCTCCATGTCTGTAGTCTCAACGTCCTTCGCTGAGTGAGCTTTGTAACATGGCTCCCTTACGCAGACGGTAATCCTGTTCTGCTGGCCAAAACAAATCTCCAAAGATCCAGGAAAGATGCCGCCTGGAGATAAAAAAAAGATGTTAAGCTTCCACTTCCTTCTGCGCCGGCGTTTCTCATCCCGCTGCTTTGTGCTTCCCTCCGCAGCACCTACACGCCTCGCCGCAGTGGTGACATGCCCTCAGGGGGAGGTAGCAGCACATACAGGGGGCGATGAAAGACAAGGCTATAAGTGCCAGCCATCTCAGGCAGAACTTGTCGTCACTAGTGTCGCATGAGCATGGATCTGAGAAATCGCCCTCTGAATCCGACATGCAGTGGTAGAGCATGCTCTCCGCACAAAGCATGCAGCTCACTTGGTAAATGCATCGCTTAATGGGATCTGGGGCATCTTGGCACTGTCCTCTCCAGTTGTCCTCATGGTTAAACATCTCTCTGCAGTATATGCACCGTGAACGTTCCCCATCCTCCTTCCTTCGTCGAGACTTTTTCGATTTGAGCACAGGAGAGGGCTGCATTTTGAATACCACCGAACCCTTGGAGTCTTTGATGGGGTTGGATTCAGGCCCATCACTGCAGGGGTACAGATACTCTGACTTTTTCGAATCTGGTTTGGAAAAAGGAGTAGTGGAATCAATGTCCTCTCTTTCCAAGTCGTTTTTCCACATGATGGGATGTCGGTAGTCCTCATACCCTCTGATTAGAACGTCTTTGCGGGGGTTTATTCGAACTATCTCATCTTCATCCTGAAAGCTCACATGGCGTGTTGACTTAAATGAGACCTACAGCGAAGAGAGACAGAAGAATGTTTAAAGTTTATATCAAACATTTCTTTCATCCTTAAAGCCGGATAAAATGAGCTTATGGAAAATGCAGGACCGCTTTTTAAAACTTTTTTTCAAAAACTTTGCAGGTTTAAAACTTGTATCTCTAGAAAAAATGAACTCCTGCATAGCTAAACAGAGGATGAAACGGGTGAATCCACAGAAATCAGTTTCCTGAAAACCTGAAAGAGCTCTGGCTAACTTATCCTACTTTACCACTGAAACATCTGTGCCAAATCTGCACTGTCACTTGGGAAATCCCTGTCACAGACATGATCCTGGCTCAGAATCTGCACTGCCTAGATCATACAGCTAAACCTGCTAGTCTGGACTAGCGCTTTTAGTAGTTGAGCTACTCGCAAGACCCAGAAGCACTTTAATTTTCAAATACCAATGTAGAACTGCCTGCTTGCTTTATCCTGACTTTTAATTAATCTAAAGTACATTCTTACTTAATCCTAAATACTACTTTATTAGCTACCTTATCTCCTGTATGAAGACTAAATGTTGCTCATTCTGCTTTAACATAAAAACATAAGAGAGGTAACAAGGGAGAGGAAGCCATTTGGCTCATCTGGACCGCTTGATAGTTAATTAGACCTCATCCAGCCACTTTCTTGAAAGAAACCAAGGTATCAGCTTCAACATGGCTGAGTAGCTTGTTCCTCACTCCCACACCTCTATGGCTAAGTGCCTCTTGTTCATAGCTTTCACCTTTATTGCACAAGAACCACTGCCAATTACCAGGTGAAGATTACTGAAGCCTGTCTGCATCCACCAGGACTCTCAGGTAAGCATCTCACAATGATCAGATGCCGCAAGAAGAAACAGCACATGCAGTAGTGAATTAAGGTGTCAATACAACATTCCCAATACAGAATATACCAATTCTGTCAAATAACTGAAATAAGAAGCATTCTAAATTTAAAGATTTTTAATTTTAATGAAAACCAAATGTTGCTTTTCGTGAATAAACTAAGCTGTGCATGAGTGCTATTTATGTGCATAGTTCAAGTCAGTGCGTCATATTCGCTAAGAGGGAAGCGTTCCTGCACACATTCTCTAAAGCTTATTTATGTATAGTTGTTTTAGTTGTACAGAACTGTTTAGATTCATCAGCACTTGGGATGGCCATGGAAGTTAGCCTGTCTTACAATTAACCCTATTCTTTCATTATTGTAAGCCCTGTCCTAAAGTAAGGCCAGCCCCAGCAGGAACGGGCGTGACTGACCTGGCTCTGCTGCGGAGGGTAGTACAGTCTCCGGGAAGAGGGGAACTCCTGGAAAGCCTGGGTCCGGACGTAGCAGCCGCGGCACGGCTCGCTGGTCACCACACTCTGCCTGGAGAAGGGCTCTTTTGTCGGTGTGCAAACAGAAGTATTTTCTTGATTTGCCTAAGACGAACAAAATCACAATATGAGGAAAAGGCACAGATCAGTTGTTTTTGGGTTTAAGGAGTCTGAGTCTACTATTGCATATGGAGGAATTCAGTACACTACACTAATTCCCAAAAATAAATTCCTGCAGTTGAAACTCATCTTGGCTAACTTTTAATAAGTGGACCTTTCTCTCATATATTTTGAATGTATGACACTGGTTATTAGCTGGGATTTTCCCTTATCAATTAATACAAAAAGAAGGGTTTCATTTATCAACACGTGCTTTAAACACTGAAAGAGAAATAGCAATGTGATCTGTGCTTCTGTCCACCAGGAGGCAGGCTGGAGTCTGCTTTGAACTTCTATTAGAACACACCTACTGTTCAGAACACAGGGTTCCTATCTATTCACATATTCCCAAAGGCATTTTTATTGTTATAGAAACTGGATCCACAGGCTTTACAAACACGCAAAAATGTCTTAGGATAAATACATTTCAAATAAAAAGAAAATTTTCGAGAGCTTCCTACATGAGAAAGAAAAGAACGATTTGATACAGAATCCTGCTTCCAGAAAAGGTAGCTTTTATTAAGCACAAGCACACAAGTAAAATAAAAGACCATTTTTTTCCGGCTAATTCACTGATGTTTTCAAAAAAAACATTTCCCCACAAGGGCTGTCTTTTTATGCGCTGCTTTTAGAATTCAGACTTTTTTTTTAACATATCACCACCCATTGATGATTACATTTTGTAAGACAGAATTCAAGATTTACAAGATTAAGATCTAAACAAATAAAGCACAGTGAATCACAACCATGCACGAGTCACGAACCATGTTGCTGTTAAGCTCAATATTCAGTGTGGGCTGGTATTCGACTGCTCATTACTGCACTCCACTGGGTAACTTGACTAACAGCGCGGGAAGCTGTATATACCTAGATAAGACGCAATGTTTTCTTATGATGACTGCACCACTCGCTGCATGTTGCTGGCCATCAGCTCTTAGGTTTTGATGTACGGACTGGTACATTCGGTCTTTCACGCAATGATTTCCGAACCCCCCTCCCCCGTTATGACCTTCACTCCCGTCGCTCCCAGCCCTTCTGGAAAGAGGGGGCAGGCTTGCGATTTGGCCTTCCTTGTGATAACGCGTTCCAACCGAAATTCCGACCTACAGCAGATTGTAGTTAAAAACCCCTGTTTTTCCCCAATGTGCACACAGCGTACGTTAACGGATCCAGCCTCCTCGGTGTTTATTCATCACACATGACAACAACAACAAAAAAAAAGACTCGACAACAGAATGCTGAGTTTCACACCATGGAAGCACAAAGGTAAAAAAAAAAAATCCTTTAATGGGTTTTGAAATATACGTTTAACCAAATGGATAGCTCGCACACATGCAAGCACACTAACACACTAACACACACACACACACGCATACCGCCCACGTTCAATCTCCTCTACCCACAGTGTGTGAAGTAGCCTGCTGGCACTGGTTAGTCTGCACCGTTTGTAAAGTAACCCACGCCAGCTTTTTAATGCACAACGGAAATCTGGTTTGCTCCCAGCTGCTGGTATAGTAATTACTGTCCTATGGTTGCTAAGAGATGCTTCCTTTGACTTTTTTTTTCTGACTACTAAAACAGTTCTGTATGCTTGGCCAATAAGGACTGATGGGTAAAGTAATAAAACAGCTCCAGCTGTAGAAATGCAGCAGAAACTTAAAAGCCAGATGACAGCTGCAGGGAAAATGGGAACCAGACTGAGCTCTCCTCTTCAAAGCCTCCTTCTCCCTCTCTCGCGCCGTGATGGCTGAGCCATGGCAATGCGTGCTAAGGTTAAAGATTCTGGATACCCTCGACAAACTCTGTAGGAAACAGTCAAAACTCATCTTTTTGTTTCTCTTGAAAAAATTGCCGGCCATTCCATGGCAACACATTAAAAATATTTCTAATATCAAGAAAAAGAGGCCCTTTTTTTACCAAAGCTCAAATCTTGTGGCACATACTGATCTTGGTTATCCAGGGCTCGCTGGCAGAGTAGGAGATCATGATTTTTTTTATCAGCTTCAGCCAAAAATTAGTGTAGGTTTTGGTGTGGAAAACAGAACACAAGAGAATGCAAGGTGAGCCAAAAAGCCAGCTCTTCTTTGTAATGTTTCAACTACATTTCATCAGATCAGGATCATTTTATGTATATAAAAAGACTGCAATCTATTTGTATTTTTCTAGAATTACAAACCGTATATGTACTGAACAGGTGAGAAACCACTAGGTTCATGACTATGTAGACATGAAAAGTTTATATTTAAGGTATGGCAAATGGCAAAGTAATATATGTATTTTTAATTGAAACAATAACCGTACAATGTAGGCTATTTTCTGTTGTGTTTATATATTTGAACTTTCAGAAAGTGTAGACTATTGTATTTTCCACAAAACAACCACTGTTACTGATTGTGTTTAAAAAATCTGGGGGATGTTTATATTAAAAACACCCACTTGCTCTATTTAAAATGTACCTACAGTCACTGTTTATTCCGGGCTACTGCGTGTCATGTTATTAGCCTGGATGGAATAATACATGTGAAAACAAAAGCTCCACCCCTTCTTCTCTAATCCAGGAAGATCTAACAAGGCTAACGGTGCAGTGGCTATGGGCAGCCTCTCTCAGGAAGAAACAAAAAGAGTACCTACTAGATAGAGCTGCTTCATCTAAAAGCAGCTGTTCCCTGGCTCTCACATAATTGTACTGTAGCTCTCATCCATCTGTTTCTTGTTGCTAGGGAGTTTCCTCTAGTACTGTACGTATAAATAAAAAGAGCACTTTAAAAATCTTACTTCCCTGTATGAACAGAGATCTCATGGTGGTGCTAGATGGCTTAACAGGATCTTTTAGCTAGTCCCCCTGCTTCATATAAACCCCTGGGAAGAAGTTTTAAGCAAAGGCAGCCCTTTAGCTGTTAAAATGGCTGCACCCACAGCAGCAAAGATGAAAAACAGAACATTTCCCAGAAGCACTCACCCTCCTGGTAGCTCTATTCCCACAAGACATTAACCTGTTTTTTCAGCACCTCCAACAAGTAGAGATTTACCTATGGTTTAGGCGGTACACCCCAACTCGTATAAGCAAAAGAGCCTTTGCGTCTTCCTGTCATTTATTCATATGTAACATTTTTCTAAGCTGGAAAACACACCACCAAAATCACCTATCTATGGCAATGTAAATACCCTAAAATCCAGAAAGCACGGTACATGACCCTATTAAGACACAAACATCAGCTCTTTTCCAAATGTTTTACTTGCGGGTTCCATTACAGGGATTTACAGTTTCGTGCATAATTCTAAGTGACATCACATCATAAATACAACCAGCAGTGGACATTTACAGAACAACACCTGTCTGCAATTTTTCACATTATCTTTCTGAGCCTATATTATATAAATATAAATATTTTGCAAACAGGAGTGGAAGTAGAGTGAAGGGAGAAGTGGTGGCTTGCGATCTGAAAGAAGGGCACGATGCAAGAGGGGATTTGTGGTCTGGGTGTAGCCTGACGGAAGAGTGTGGTCAGGTATCACAGGGGAGGGAAGTGGGTGCAGGGCCCCGTCGGTCAGGAAGTGGCTGATGGAGTAGAACTTGGCTCAAGAATTCTTAAAGACATCAAATCTGCTGAATTAAAAAGGCAAAGATAAACTGAAGACAATATGTTTTCGGGATCCAGAAGAAAAACCACGTACACCACCGGAATAGGTATTCACTGAAAAACAAAGGTATTGTAGATTCTGTTCATTTTTGCAGTCCTGGAAGGACAGTTCCTCAAAACAAGAGAGATTAACACTATCCTGGTCTCTAGACACAAAGACATAACAGTCCCCACCACCCATGGCTTTTCCAGGCTTCTGTTTTTATAGGATAATTACTATAAAAACAATTTCCATTTCCATAGATATCAATGATTAAGGCATGGTTTATTCTGTATTAAACATTCCAGAAACTGGGAGAATCAAATAGTTGTATCAGGTTCTGGAATGGCTACCTTAACCCCTTTGTCAACAGTTCTAAATAAAAGTTAAATACTTTAATAATACAAGTTTGCACAAAGAAGCTACCCTACAGCTTTGCAGCTCTTTCTATTTTGTGAAAGGGTGGCTAGCTCTGGACATTGACAGCGAAGGAGATGTTATAGTCTACACATCTTGAGACAGCACCACAAAAATCCTCAGGGTGGCAGGACACAAAGAATGATGAAGAATCAAAATTAATACTAACTGATGTTCATGCCATTTGAGATGAACCTCCACAACTTTCTACGTCAAACGACAAACTCAAGCCATGTGATACTAACAGCATGGCTGGCCAGTATTCAGACAAAATCTGACAAGAATGCTTGACAAAAGGTGGAAACATTTTGCGCTTCAAACCCAGAAAAGGGCAATGGATTACAAAAGTTTCTCATTATGGAAGTGAGAAGGCGAGGTGTTTTTTGGGGGAATTAATTTAAAAATGTATTAGGCTACTGTTTTAAAATGTACTAAAGCTATTTTTTTTGAAAATTTTAAATTTATTACTCAGTAGTCTACCACACTCTTGAGGAGGGAGCATTTTGAATGTAGGGTTAACATTTGATAAGTGCTATTTTCTTAAAGTTTACCAAACCTAACAGAAACAGTAAATTCTACAGTTAACAGATAACCCTGTCAAAGCATTTTACCTTTCAGCAATAAGGATTTGGAGAAAAATAATCCTTTTCTGACAACATGTTTTTTTAAATTCTCAACTTAGTATACAATCTGGTTAAGACAACTGTACCTCTAAACATCACAATTAAGCACCACAACACCTCTTGCCCCTTAATTACAATAACAAAAAACTTTTCTTTAGACTTCAAGGAAATGATTTTCAATCACAATCTTTCAGATTAAAATTCTCAAAATAAATATAGCAAAAAAAGTAACAAAACCCTTATCCACTGAAGCACAACAAATACATATGACACATTCATAATGGA